TATCTAAACAAATATTTCAAAATATGGTCAATCCTCTCTGTTACCACCTTGCTAAGGGATATGTTTATGGTTTGATAACTTTTAAAATTGAAATTTAATAATTTTTGATAACTACTTGTTGGGATTTTCTAAAATCCTTTTCTTACTCTTGTCTAGTTTGCTGATGGTGGTGTGTTACACTGACTCATTGGCAGAGAATAACAGAGTGGGGGAACTTATACCATTGTTTGTAAATGGCAGTACGGGTGTGTGGGCTTAGAACGTGTGGGTGGAGAAAGCAGGTGGCCAAATGCATTAAAAATATTATATGTACATAACTGAAAGCAAAATGGGGTCCCAAGGTACTAAACTATCTTGCTTGCCTCACTTTAATGTACTGGTTAAATGGGTGTCACTTGATTATGGTCTATGGTCATTTTTATATATTGCTGGATTTGGTGTTTTAAATGCTTTGTGGTAGAATTTTATCCCATGTGGCTCCCCCTTGCCCTTCTCTCCTCTTCTTTCCTGTTACTGGTTTTTTTCTTGTCCTGCCAGGTCCTGCCATCCTCTTTTCAGCCCCTAATAAACACACTGACTATATATTAATTATTAAACTGTTGGTCAATGGCTTAGGCTCCTTATTGGCTAGTTCTGTTTTAATTATTAACTCATTCTATTAATCTATGTATTTCTACATGTTCTTGGCTTACCAGAGAATGCCCGGACCTGTTACTCCTTTGTGGTCTACATGGAAACTGTTTCGTAGCCTTCCTCTGCCTATCTTTCCCAGAACTCTCCTTGTCTCCTCATCTCACCTACCTTCTGGTCTCATTGGCCAAACAGTGTTTTATTATTCAACCAATAAGAGAAACATATACACAGAAGGACACCCCCCATCACTTCCCCCTTTCTACTATGAGTGTATGGTTTTGGTATTAGGCTAATGGTTGTTCTATTAAATGTAACTGTTTCCTAGAAAAGCTAGCATGGTTGTTATTTTTCACCTTGCTCTGATGAAGTATCTGATAAGACAACATAAGAAAGTACAGGCTTATTTGGGCTCTCACTATCAGGGTACAGTCCATCACAGGGGTGCATCACTGCAGCCAAGTGCAGGGTCATCGCATCCAGTCAGGAAGCAGAAAGGTGAACTCTGGAACGATCGATCGATCAAGGAGATTGCTCTAATTTATCCTCCTTCTCGAGTGAGGAATTGGGATGTTCCTGTGAGACCTTCCTCGTTTCTTAGATAAACATCTGGCGACGTGTCTCTTAACTTGTGGATCACCTTGGGGCTTTAATGACTCCTTCACAGGGCTCACTTAAGACATTAGAAAATACAGATAGTTACATAGTATCAAAATTAGAGTTGTGAGGTAGTGAAAATAATTTTATGGTTTGGGGTCACCAGAACATGAGGAACTGTGTTAAAGGGTCACACATTAGAAAAGTTGAGAACTACTGATTTGGTGTGATAGACAACCCTCTCAGTATTGACCAGGCTGGCCTCAAATGCCTGACCCAGACAATCCTTTTGCCTTGCCTTCCCAAGAAGCATGGGCTACACGTGTGTGCCACTGTGCCCAGAATTTTTATACATTTAAAATAGTTTGTTCTCCTTTACATGCTTATCTACTATCCCATTGATAACTTGTATATTTCATTTGTTCTACTTTTCATTGGCTTCACTTGTAAACTGACAATTAAGTGGTCTGTTATTCTGCTTATGAAGATGAGAGTGGGTTTTTTATGGTAAACTAGACATGATATAGAAGTTCCATTTTAACAATTTTACTTGTAAAAAGTAGTCCATTGCAAACATCCATGCCAGCTATAACATCTCCCCATTTCCAGAAATTTTTTGTCATCCCAAAGAGAAAGTGGGTAGTATATAATGGTATGTCCTGGTGATCCCCTCCTTCCGGCCCCTGGCAACCAGCATCCTCGTTCTGTCTTGTGAGTGCCATACCAGGTAACTCGTCTATGCAGACTTACACAGTTTATATCCTTTTGTAGCTGACTTTTTTTTAGTATTTTTCAAGAAAAAAAACATTTATTACATTTTTTTAGAAAAGAGCTTGCTTCACATATCAATCCCAGCTCCCTCTCCTTTCTCTCCTCCCATGCCCCCCCACTATTCCCCCAGCCTCCCACCCCATTCCCACCTCCCTCCACACAGAGGATATCCAGATTCTGTCCCCTCACTCAGGACAGGGTCCAGGCACTCCCCCAAGAGTCCAGGCTGAGAGAGCATCCCTCCCCCTGCCATGGACGAAATCCATCTGTATGCCAGGGATAAACACTGATCCACTGCCCAGGGCCCCACAGGTTGCCCAGGCCTCCCCACCGACTCTCACACTCAGGGGTTCCGGATCAGTCCCATGCTGGCCTCCCAGCTGTCAGTCCAGGGTCCAAGAGCTCCTCCTTGTTCAGGGCAACCATCCCTGCTGGCTTCGCCAGCCCATTCTTTGTCCATTTGCTCACCGCTCCTCTCTCTCTGTCACTGGGTTTCAGGGGTTCAGTTCAGTGTTTAGCTGTGGGTGTTTGCCTCTGCTTCCATCAGTCACTGGATGAAGGTTCTAGGATGGCATATAAGGTAATCGTCAAGTTCATTATCAGGAATGGGCATTTAAGGTTGCTTAGCTTGCCAGTTGGTGTCATCCTTGTAGATCGATAGAGGTCTCACTGGTGCCAGATCTCTCTTCAAACCTATGACTCCCTCTATTATGGTATTTCTCATCCTGTTCTCCCCCTATTCTACCCCCAACTCAACCTTTCTGTTCCTCCATGTCCCACTCTCTCCTCCTCTTCTCCCCTCTCTTCTTCCCAGCTTCCACTCCTCCCCACCCCTGCCATGTTCCCAATCTGTTCAGGAGATCTTGCCTCATTCCTCTTCTCTGGGGTACCATGCATATCTCTCTTAGGTTCTTTCCTGTTTCCCAGACTGTCAGTGGAATTGTATGTTTTTTTTTTGTTTTGTTTTGTTTTGGTTTGGTTTTGGTTTTACGAGACAGGGTTTCTCTGTATTGTTTTGGAGGCTGTAGGACCAGCCCGGCCTGGAACTCACAGAGATCCGCCTGCCTCTGCCTCCTGAGTGCTGGGATTAAAGGCGTGCGCCAACACCACCCGGCAGAATTGTATGTTTTAAGGTCTCTTTTTTCTTTTTATTGGTAAATTTATTTATGGTAGGTATCTGAATGTGATCCTATTGACATCTCTTATATAAGAATAGTTAAAGTTCACCATATGACTTAGACATGCAGAATCATGTACTTTTGTTGTCTATGGCTCACCTCCACATGGGAAGACAAAATAAATGTGATTCTTACCACTGCACAATGGTTCAGTCTGTCTGTCTGGAATAGTGTCTGCAATATGGACTCTCTCCAGGAGGTTCTCTCTCTCTCTCTCTCTCTCTCTCTCTCTCTCTCTCTCTCTCTCTCTCTCTCTCTCTCTCTCTCTCTTGGTTCCTGGGTGTAGGGAGGAGACTGAGCATTGAGGAAGTGCTGGGTGCCACCCACAGGGAGCCAGATAGCCTTGTGGGCAGTAGTTTTGGCCTGAGTTTAGCATCTCAGGCAGACGTTTAGGCTCCTACCATGAGCATGGCTCTCCAGGTGCTCACAAACAGACCTCAGACTCTCTCTAAAGCCACAAAGCCTCTGCCTTCTCAGCCTGGCAGAGCCACGAGGTCCCCATCTTCCTGTTTCTAAAATGTCAGCTTTGGGGTCATATCCTTATGACTTGTCTGCTTGCCTGATCCCCCAAGCTGCCCCCACATCTCCTCATGTCTGTATCCCACACGGGGCTATGACAGCAGCTCAGAAAACATTTGTTGAGTGGTGTTCTGGGCGGAATACTCAAGGCAAACTCTGTGTGATAGCGCAGCAGGTAGCTGAAGTGACCTAATTAGAGTTTCGTGAGTCTGTTGTGACTTTTTTTCAGCACTTACTATTTTCATGATCCACTTACTCTCTGGCTGCTGCTGGAGCTCTCAGTGTTAGGGATATAGGTTGGGACACTGGTGGCACATCTCGAGGAGAACCTCAGTCTTTGGACTGTCTCTTTTTATCCAGAACCAGTCAGTTTCTTCTTGAGGCTCATGGCTGCATTTACTGTCAGGGCTCTCATCTCAGCACTGAAAGCATCCAGTAACCAAGCCAACATCAATTACATAGCCACATCTCTCAGAAGGGCCCCTCAGTAACCAGGGAAACCCTGATTTAGCTTCATGACCATGAATAGTAAATTAGAAGAGGACACAGCCTCAGTCTGGGGCAGTGAGACATGTCTGGCTCTGAGCGTAAAGGGAATCTTGATTGACAGTACACTGTCCTCCGGAGGTCTTGCTAGCCATTGCTTTCATCGTGGGTTTTTGAAATAAGGTTGTTTGTTTGTTTGTTTATGCTTTAGTATACTAAGCACAGGTCAGGAATGGTCTTGGCTTCTCTTGACCTCATGAGAAATTTAACATTTCACTTCAACTGGTGCTTAGTTACAAGGACACATTTTTTTTCCTCTTCTGGTAATATCATTCTATTTTACCTTATCATTGAGTGAATTTGCCTTGTTGTGAACAAATAGATTTCATGGGGAAAATGATTATTTGACGGTTGATTCCAAACTCAAAAGTTTCCTAACAAAATAAAAGTCAATAAAGTAACCTAGCAGCAATTTCAGGTAAATGATTCTCACTGTGCTGTCTCTGCGGATATGCTATTCTCTTGCTCATTGGATGACACATTCTGACCGTGGGTAACAAGATAGAACGTTATGACACACCTTCCTCAGAAAAAGCCCACGTTCCAATTGGGCTGCATTAGATGAATGGCTGCCAGGAGGGAAGTGGCGAAATGCTTGCAGGCAAGGCATTCTGAGCATGGGACTGGGGCTTCACGGGAGCCTGGGAAAGACCCAGGGCTAACTCGCGCTATCTGGGAGGGTCTTGTGGCCACGGACAGGAAGAAGCCCAGTGAGGTGCTGTGCGTGTGCAGCGCTGACCTCCCTGAGTCTGGGCTAGGCTTCCTCACTGGTCCTAGGGCCCCTTACACTTTGCTGCTCTTGCCTGGCAGCTCAGTGTGCTGCCCTCTGGTGGATTTTCTTCTCTGCGAGCCCAGCGCTGGGCACTTTGATCTTTTCCCTGTCTCTCCAGCCGCTAGCATAGTGAACCAGAGGGAGCAGCCCTCAGCCTTCCTCTCATAACTGCTCACTGAGGCGTGGAAGGAACTGGAAGGGTGACTACCGTCTACCTGGACAACAGAAACTGGGGTAAATCCTTAGCATGCCCAGGAGCCCCCAGGTCACTGTGTGTGGTCCAGTTCACGCCCGTTGGACTGCAGCGCTCCAGTTTTCTAAGCTTAACTGCTGGCACCTATGTGGGCAAGCCCTGGGCTTTGCTGAATCCCAGTTGGGACATCACCGTCATCAGTTCTCTGTCAGGTGAGACCTCTCCAGAGAGCACCTGCCTTTCTTTTGTCAGGGTCTGTGGAATGAGAAGTCCCCCATTTCAGGAGATTGGGAGAGAGCTGCAGACATAGGTGATGTCCCTGTTCTCTCTACCCCTCACCCAAAGAAGGGACACTGCCGCCGCCAGGCCTTCTGGGTAGGTTTTGTGCTTAGCCGGCCTTTCAATTTTTACTATTTTATTTTATTTATTTTATGTGTGGATGTTTTGTCTGTATGTATGTTTATGCACCACGTGCCTGCCTGGTGCCAGAGGATGACGGAAGAGGGCTTCAGATTGCCATGGAGTTAGAGATGGTTATCAGTCACCATGTGGGTGCTGGGAATTGAACCAGGGCCTTCTGGAAGAACATCAAGTGCTTTTAAACACTGAGCCATCTCTCTGTTTGCTGGAGAGAGGGAGGGAGGAGGAGAAGAGAGAGACCCCTATTGTGTGGATTCTTGGCTCACTTTTCAATGGCATGAAGCTGACACCCAGGCTCCATAACCCATATTCTATAACCCCATATTGTGTCTTCCTCCCTGATCCCTCAGTGTGTCCTAAAAGGAGAGGAGTCTACTGTGGGGACACAGCACAGAGATGGGAGAGGTACCTCACCTCTTGGAGTAGAGACAATAGAAACTCACAGTCTGTGAGGGTCAGGCCAGACACAGACTCAGGGCGGCTGGAGCTAGGAAGCCTCACCTCGAGGGACTAGCTCGAGCAGTGGCCTACAAGGCCCAGAACAAGGCATTTCTCCAAAGAAGCTAGAAATAGAAAATTATATGGTGTCCCCAGATTTCACCCTCAAGCACAGTGTGGTCCTCCCAGCACTGAGGAGCAAAGGAAACCTTAGTTTAAATAACTGTCCCCCTGGCCCAAGGGCAACCAGCCGTCCACTCTGCCCAACCTCTTTGTTTAGCATGTTTGTACCATTTGACTCAATCAATGCCCTAGGAGCCAGCTGCCACTGGTTCTGCATCTTCAGGTCCACGAACCCCAAGTTCATGAACACTCCAACAATACCCAGCACTTAGGAGACTGAGACAGGAGGATTTCAAGTCAAGGCCATGAAATCCTGGCTCCACAAGCAAAAACAAGTTCCAGAAAATTCCCGAAAGATTAAACTTGAATCTGTGTCAGACCAAGCACTTTTCAGAGTCCATGTAACTAAAGTATGTAGGCATTGTGTTTGTTCCATATCATAGTAACCTGGAGACTATTTTAAAACAGGCAGGTGTAGTTCATATGCAAATACCCTGCCCCTTTTTGGGAAGGACTTGAGCATTCTGGGATTGGGGCATGTCCTGGAATCCCAGAATTCCATGGGCATAGGGGAAACAACTGTAATTTGTAGGTACTGTGTGAGTGTTTCCAGTTTTCCCAGAAATACATTCACTTCTGTGAACCCTGCTTTCCCATGGAAAGTTATGAAACCTGATTATATTCAAGACTAGAAAAAAATTCAATCCATAAATATGTGCTTTATTGTGTTATATTTACAGTCTAGGAAGGAAGGAAAGTCAGTTGGCAGGCATTTGTATCTGTGAATAGAGAACCAAGAGGGGCCTGACCATGAGGGAACCTGAGTTCTGCATGTTCCCCTTGCGAAGTAAGTCCTTCACCTGGCAGGCACCTGGCCAAGCTTCCCCTGGCTGCTCACACTGCCCTCCTCACAGCACAGCTCCTGGCCTTGGTGACAGTGGGTGTGGGCTAGTGGTCCTTTACAATGAAGGCACAGAGAAGAAGGTGAGGGAGGGACAGATAACCTTGATTCTTTTCCTGGAGGTGTCAGCATGCTCTAGAATGTCGCCAGTCAGAAAATTTGAGCTGGACAGCCATTTTGAAGTTTTTTTGTTTGTTTGTTGAGGCAAGGTAAGGCATTGGGCTTCTAATGCTCCTGCCTCCACCTCCCCCATCACTAGCCTTTGAGAAACACCGCATTCCCTAGTTAATTTGACCATGCACCTGCCTCTCCAGCATCTCCCTGTTTTCCTTTTGTTCTTGTTTTTGCTTGAGTCTCCATCAAGAAAGATACCCGGTGAGTCTTATTCAGACCTTTCTCTGTTTCTGTTAGCAAAGTGCAGCCATTCTCCGGTGACAGGGCTAATTGATAATGTTTGGGCTGGAAGTGCAGCTAAGTCCACATAATTAACAAAAGCAGCCCCAGCAGGAGGTGGAGGTTGCAGCCTCCACCACAGTGCTTCAGACAGAGTCTCCACGTGGAGCTCCTCAGCGCCTCTCCGGTGATACCTTGACCGCAGCAGCCTGGCTTTTCTGCTTAACTTGGGAGTGTGTAAGCATGCCTGACTTAGTGATGGATGCGGGTCTTGGTGGTGCCACCACACACAAGGCCTGTGAGGATGACCAGGACCCATGCCACATCCTTTGAGGATAAGCTTGAATTCCTGAAGAGCTGGTGAGGCTGGCTGGGCGTCCCACTCGACAGTAGCGCTGCTGTCAGGAGATCCAGCTGGCATCTCCTGGCCTCACATCCGGATTCTCCCTTTCTCTCTCCATCTCTTATCAGGATGGTGCATATGTGCTAAAATACTAAAGTCTCTAACTTGAAATAGACTCATTGTTTCACAGATAGCCCTAGGGCTTAGCCAAGACCCAAAAAGAAGGGGAAAGAAACAAACACAGCACGCAAATCCCCACCCCTAGCACCTACAAGGTTCAGGAAAACTTCAGGCTTAGTTAACTGGCTTGAAGAATGAAAGTCCTATCTTTTGGAATAGTTCCTTAAATATTTTATGCACATGCAAATAAATGTGATGCCCTAGTTTGGATTACAAATGTCTCTCAAAGGCCTCAAGTGTACATCCTGTGGTGCTATGGGAAGTGGTTAGGCTCAGAGGGGGGATTAAGTCATTGGGGGTGTGCCTGAGGAAAGGGATATTGGAACCCTGACCACATCCCCTTCCTCCTTCCCTTTCGCTTCCTGGCTGTGATGCATACAGCACCCTTTGCTACACTTCTTCATGAAATATTGTTTTATCACAATTCAAAACCACATGGCCAATCAACCAGGAGTCAAAAGGCACCACCTATCCCCTCTTTGAGGTCATTATCTATGGTACTCTATCCCAGCAATGGACAGCTAACAAACCTAGATTCTCTTCATTGTCTATTTTAAAGGAATGGATTTTTTTAAATGCGTTTCCCACCATCCTTACTTGTGTATGCGCCAACACACTAATAAGAAAATAAAGAATGCAGCAGCTTCCAGCCTTTGACAACAAATGAATGCTTCTCCTAGACTGTCTTCCTGCGTTCTGGGGTGTGACCACCAGAAGTCAGAAATAGTAATTGGTTCTTATTAGCAGGCTTCCCTGATGGCCTGATATATGCCGTAGTGAAAGTAACACACTGATAAATGTCCACTCAAGTTTAAGGGGGTAAATTTTGACTCGTGATGTAAGGAGGAGCCAGGCTGAGGCTAGCAGTACCCTTTATTATTATTCCAGCTCTTCTGACTTCACATGAGCTGGATGAGAATTCTCAAACTCCAGTGTTGAAGTAACCCTGCCCCCAGAGCAGGCAGAGAGATGCTGAGCGAAGCACACTCTGACCCTGGGCTCGGCAGATGGGGCGGCCCTGCCCCAGGTACTGAGAGAGGTCAGTGTGTTGTAACCATGGTCATCTTACTGTGTAGCAGACCTGAGCTCTTTCTGTCATGTCTTTCTGTAGAAACTATGACCATCTTACTGTGTAGCAGACCTGAGCTCTTTCTGTCATGTCTTTCTGTAGAAACTATGACCATCTTACTGTGTAGCAGACCTGAGCTCTTTCTGTCATGTCTTTCTGTAGAGGCTATGACCATCTTACTGTGTAGCAGACCTAGCTCTTTCCCTCCTGTCTGGCTGGAGTGACTGAGCCTTTGAACTGCAACTCCCCAGGCCCCATTCAAGCACTACCTCTACTGTTCCTCAGTCTACCCTCAATGTCTATGAGATCAGCACTTTTACATTCTACACATGGGCGAGACCAGGCAGTAGGGTAAAATGTGTGTTCTAAAGAGAGTAGAAAGAATAAACATTACAAGCTCTCTCCACAAATACTGTGTATGAGGTCATGTGTTGTTAACAAGTTGCATTTAAGCTTTCCAGTGTGTGTGTGTGTGTGTGTGTGTGTGTGTGTGTGTGTGTAGGGCTGACTGGCATGCCGCTGGTATCAAGTATAGAAGCCCTGCCTGTTTCTCCGTTGTCTTTTTCATACTGCTTAACTGAAGCTTTTCCCCCCATTTTCTCAGAATATAGTATGTATGTGTATGTGTATGTGTATATGTGGGTACAAAGTGTGTGCATGTGGAGGCCAGCGGTTGACATTGGGGTGTCCTCTATTGTTCATCATCTTGTTTTTGTTTACATGGTGTCACTCACAGAGCCTTGTTATCACCACTTGGCTATACTAACTAGCTAACAGGATCTAGGGATCCAGCTCTGGGTTACACGTATGTGCTGCTATGCCTGCCTTTTTACATGATTACTGTGAGTGCAAACTCAGGTCCTCTTGCCACTTGTGTAGCAACCCATATCTGCAGCCTGAGTATCTGCAGGTTTTAAAGAAGTTCCTCCTCGCTCACATCGTCTGATCTAGAGTGTTAGAGAACTCTGTGATGTTTACACTGACCACACTCCATTTGTGAGCTCTAGGATGTACACTGACACACTCACGCACAAGTGTATCAGCTAGCTCTCCGTTGTTGAACAAATGGTTGTGAAGACCAACTTATAAAAAGAGAAGGCTTATTTGGGGCTCACAGTTTTAGAGATTTTGTTTTCAGTTGGGAGATTGTTTTAATTGCTGCTTCAATGTGATTATTTGGTTTTGGTCTTTTTAAATAATTTATTTCATCTTGGTTTAATTTTGGTAGGTTATATGCATCTAGACACTCATTCATTTCTTTTAGATTATCCATGATAGTGGAATATGAGTTAATCAGTCTAGAAGAATAGTTAAGCAGACGAGGAAAACACCAAAGACTACAAAATCAACAAAATATCTTCCAGTGTTAACTCTGATTATTAATGGTTACAATTTCCCACTCAAAAGACAAAGCTATCAGATTCAGTTATAACACAGGGATCCATTTACTATTGCATACGAGAGACATACCTCAGCATCTAAGACAGATGCAAACTCAGGTTGGAAGGGTGGGAAAAGGTATTCTTAGCAAATGTTTCTAGGGATTGACAAGTGTGACACTGTTCCCACATCTGACAAAAGGGACTTCAGAACTAGTCAGAAGAGGGGAAAGTCATCTCACGTTGACTGGAAGATCAACCCATCAAGAAGACATTACAGCAGCTTTGTATGACATGAACACACCCAGTTTCACAGAGGAAATAGTACTAGTGGTAAAGACACATTAACCTCAACACAGTAGCAGTGAGTCTTAGAAGACTAGCTGAGGATATGTGGGTGCCTGACAAGCCTGTCCTCGTCTTTCACTGCGTAGCTGGTATCCCTGTGGTGTACCCCTTAACCCACAGGGTGCACACTCTGAACCCCCCTCTAATCTAATAAAGCTTCCAAGTTCTGGAAAAGTCCAGATGGCACAGAGTGGCTCATAGGATTCCTGTTGACTGAGGAAGCACTGTGTGCCAGGCGTGCATGCCATGGGTGGCGTGGCCCTAAAGAGGCCCCTCTGGCTTAGCACTATCAGCCCACAGTGAGAAACTACAAGAAATATGCCACATGGTTGCTTTTCCCTCCTTTCCTGTGACTGTATCAGTACCAGTCAAGTCCCACTGTCAGGTTCCCATTAAACCAGAACTTTGGGCAAGGAGGTGGGTGTGCTTGGGCCAGAACCACACCAGCAGGACTTGTGAGCCTAGCTGTAATTGGCTTCAGCTCCTTTACTGTTTTGTTTTATTTAGTTCATAGAATGAGTTCTACTACATAAGTCAGGCTCTCTTTGAACACCATCACCCTTCTAGCTCTTTCTGCGCAGTTCAGAAATTCCAAGTGCACACCAACACACCTGGCTCGAAAGTTCACCTTTTAATATTTTAAACTATTATTTTATGTATAAGGGTGTTTTGCTGGCATGTGTACCACATGTATGCCTGGTGCCCACAGAGGCCAGAAGAAAATGTCAAATCACTTG